GCACGTACAATCTCTGTACACTTGATTGTTTTTTTATGTGGATTGGGTAATTCTCATGTACAGCTGAATGGGAGATACAAACCCCACATTTATCCAGGGTCTGATCCCCTGGTTTTATTTGAGATGTAAAAGTGGGTTAGCTCTTTCTTACAACCAGTTGTACTCACATACAGATAGTTCGTACTTCCATTCACTATAATATGTGAATAGGACATGCATTGCCATGACTTCTGGGATTACCAAAGGCTAAAAAGCAACCAAGGGTTGATTTGACAGAAGAAGAAGATGATGATATTGGATATATACCCCGCCCTTCACTACCCAAAGGAGTCTCGGAGCGGCTTACAATCTCCTTTTCCATACCCTCCCCACAACAGACACCCTGTGAGGTAGGCGGGGCTGAGAGAGCTCTCTCAAGAACTGCCCTCGAGAGAACAGCTCTGAGAGAACTTGTAACTAACCCAAGGTCACCCAGCTGGCTGCATGTGGAGGCATGGGGAATCAAACCTGGTTCTCCCAGATTAGAGTTTGTGCTCCTAACCACTACACCAAACTGGCTCCCTTGTTACACGGGCTCACAGTTTTAAGAACTTTTCCCCTCAAAGAATTATCTCAGGACAAGTGGGAACCTGCAAAGACTTGTGGGAAGCATCTCATCTCCCCTCTACTCCACTATTTTTTCGCTTTCATGAAAGCCCCACAGCCTCTCCCCTTTTTCAGCTTCCTTCTCTCCTTCTGGGGTCGCCAACCTGAAGATCTCTTGGAATCACAGTGGATCTCCCAGCTACAGAGATCAGTGCCCCTTAGGGTTGCTAACTCCAGGTTGGGGAGTTCTTGGAATTCTGGGTGTGGAGCACAGGGAGGGGGAGGTTTGGGGAAGGACACAACCTCAGCAGGGTGTAATGCCACAGGATCCGCCCTCCGAAGCAGCCATTTTCTCCAGGGGAGCTGATCCCTGTCATCTGGAAAGGAGCTGTAATTCTGGGTGATCTCCAGCCCTTACCTAGAGGTTGGCAACCTTAGTTCCCCTTGGAGGAAGTGGCTGCTTTGGAGGATGGTGTCTATGGCATTATACCCTCAAGGACTTTTGAAGGGGCTCACTTTTCCCTGTTATCTCCCTCCCCACACTATTTCCCCTTTCCCTCCCCCAGGTATATCCTTTCCCCTTTACCTGCCTCATCTCTTCTTCTCAGCCATTCATCAACTTACCTTCCAACTTACCTGTGAGCTTCCACAGCAAGATGGGAATTTGAACCTGGGTCTCCCAGATGCTGCTCTGAAGCTCTAACCGCTATACCACACTGGCTTTCTCAGGGTGCCAGCTGCTGAACAGTAGCAAGCAGCCAGGTCTAGTTGGGTCACGCAAGTCGGGTGGTATCAAGTCACCCAGAGGCTGCTGAAGACCCAGGGTTGCCAACCTCCAGGTGGGACTTGGAAATCTCCCAGAATTATAACTGAACTCCAGATGACAGGAGAATGTCTCCCTGGAGGAAATGGCTGGTTTGGAAGGGACTCTATGGCATCATATCAGCCTCTCCCTTCCACAAACCCCGCCCTCCTCGGGCTCCATCCCAAAATCTCCAGGAACTTCCCAGTCTGGAACTGGCAATGCTAGTCAGTCCCCCTCAAAAGGCAAAATAGGCCTGAAAAGGACCCAGCCTCCTCCTCCTGCCTTTCACTGGAGAACCACAGTTTGTAATACTGTGGTTGCCTAGCAACAGCCACTGAGGGAATCCGTCCCTTAAAGCTACAGGCGCTCCTTTAATCATTTTCGGATTTTTAAGCTGACCAGTGTTTTTTTCTTTTAGATTTCACATTTTCCTGCAAACCTGGGGCCCTTTTCAGGTTTGTGGAAAGATCCATCCTTCCCATTCACAGCTCCAGACACCTGATTTAGGTATCCAAAGACAGGCCGACTTTGCCACAAACCCCACGCTTCTCAGACTCCGCCCCAAAATCTCCAGGAATTTCCCAATCTGGAGCTGGCAACCCTAGTCAGGCCTGGCCTTACGATAGGCCTAGTCTGACTTGGCCCAAAGATAGGCCTAGTCAGACCTGGCCTATCCAAAGATAGACCGACTTCACTATTAGGCTATACAATTGTGTTGTCATCTTAGAATTTTCACAGGACCAACTCAGGTGGAGGCAGATCTGGAACTCTCTGCAGCGCTAAAGAGATTCGCTTCGAACTCTCGCTTTAGACCTCTGTCCCTTGGGGCTGCCTCCCTCTCCCCAATCAATCCCTCGGGGGTCTCTATAGGATCCTGACCTCTCACCTGATAAAAGCAGTGTCTGCCAGGGTCTTCTCCGCCCATCCCCTGAGCACCCTCGGGTGGATTTTCCTGCCTCTCTCAGATTTGGAAGAAGGCCGGCCATTATTTTCATGCCCTGGCAGATGCCTCCATCCTTCCCCGTTCTCTGCCACCAGATCATGGGACAGGCCCCATGGAGTCTGCCCTCCCGCCTCCCTCCCCCGGATATGCTTACCAACCAGGCTCTCCGGGTCAGCCCCCCACTCCCTCAAGTTGTCAGCTCCTAGGTTACAGGAAGTGGTCATAAAGCACAAGTGTGAGCTATACTGTAGTGAATTGGTAGGAAGATCCAGCACTGGGTTGCCTCTCCAAAACAGGCAGATCGTTTGCACTTATCCCGGGGACAACACAAAAAAGACCCTGGCCGAGAAGGATCTCTGACTGATTCTCCTCAGATCTCCTGCCCATGCATGTGAGTACTTGGCTATAGTTAGGGGTCGTTTCGTATAAAAAGAGCTAGGACTGGCAACCCTAGTCAGACCTGGCCCTAAGATAGGCCTAGTCAGACTTGGCCCTAGTCAGACCTGGCCTATCCAAAGATAGGCCGACTTCACTATTAGACTATACGATTATGTTGTCATCTTTAGAATTTTCACAGGACCAACTCAGGCGGAGGCAGATCTGGAACTCTCTGCAGCACTGAAGAGATTCGCTTCGAACTCTCGTTTTAAGCCTCTGTCCCTTGGGGCTGCCTCCCCCTCCCCAATCAATCCCTCCGGGGTCTCTATAGGATCCTGACCTCTCACCTGATAAAAGCAGTGTCTGCCAGGGTCTTCTCCGCCCAGCCCCTGAGCACTCTCGGGTGGATTTTCCTGCCTCTCTCGGATTTGGAAGAAGGCCGGCCATTATTTTCACGCCCTGGCAGATGCCTCCATCCTTCCCCGTTCTCTGCCACCAGATCATGGGACAGGCCCCATGGAGTCTGCCCTCCCGCCTCCCTCCCCCGGATATTCTCACCACCAAGCTCTCCCAGTCAGCCCCCAAGTTGTCAGCTCCTAGGTTACAGGAAGTGGTCATAAAGCACAAGTGTGAGCTATACTGTAGTGAATTGGTAGGAAGATCCAGCACTGGGTTGCCTCTCCAAAACAGGCTGATCGTTTCCACTTATCCCGGGGACAACACAAAAAAGACCCTGGTCGAGAAGGGTCTCTGGTTCTCCTCAGATCTCCTGCCCATGCATGTGAAAAGAAGGTTCACATAAATAAAATTAATGGGCATCCGAGTGCGCTGGTATGCTTGAATTCTGCTGATTATGTTTGGGCCTGACCTATTGGTAGCCGTTGTAGCAAAGTCCAGGCCTTCAGGCTGCCAGTGTTTGGTTTCTTTCAGCCTTGTTACCCGGCCTTGAGAATGCTGGCAGAACTCTTGAGCTCTGACTTGTGGTCTCATTTCTCAGCCGGGGAAGGGCAAATGCTCCTTGGTTCAAATGCTGGCAGAACTCTTGAGCTCCGACTTGCGGTCTCATTTCTCAGCCGGGGAAGGGCAAATGCTCCTTGGTTCAAATAGGGTTTGATTTGCAAATTGTCAGCCGTACCCACAAGTGCCCTTTGACTTCTTCTGTACATTCATGCTCTGCGTGGAGGAATTCCGTGCAGTCTTCAAACCAGCCGTTCCCAAGGTTCCCAGTTGCATAGAGACCACCCAGAGGCTCTATACCAGGGGTCCTCAACAGTGTTCCCTCTAAGCTGAGTTAGTGTGAGCTAGCTCACAGTTTTTTAGTCTCCGGCTCACACATTTTTGTCTTAGCTCAGGAAAGATGGCTCCAGAGCAAACTAATGTATGCAGTAGCCAAATCGCTTGCTCACAACTTTAATACCAGTAGCTCACAAAGTAGATTTTTTGCTCACAAGACTCCACAGCTTAGAGGGAACATTGGCAACCTTTTTGAGTCTGCAGGCACCTTTAGAATTCTGATGCCAGGTGTTGGGCGCAACCACAAAATGGCTGCCAGAGAGGGCGGGGTCAGTGACGAAATGACTGCTGTGGGAGGCGGGGCCAGTCACAAACTATCAGGGAGCAAGGCTACGCATAACTCTAATAGTTACTCTTCATGCGGCAGCTATGCCCAACAGGAGGCCTCTTTAAATGAATGGTGTTTTAAAGGATCCGCACAGCCAGTTAGATCTCCAACAGCCAATCAGAAGCCCTGCGGGGCAAAAGCCCCACCAGGCCCCAGCTGCCCACTTTCTAAAAAGCATGAACAGGCACCAGGAAAGGTGAGAGCGGGCAGCATGGCACCTACGGGCATCAAATCGGGGGTCTCTGCTCTATACAAACACTGCTGCAGCTGTGTCTAGTCTAGGAGTTGGTGCTGACTTGGGACACTGTGTCCCCCTCCCTGCCATGGTGCACATGACCCCCCCCCCCCCAAAGCCTAAAAAAAATAAAAAGTGGGCATTTTGTTTGGGGGGGGGGGCGTGTTTCCCAAAGAAGCAACGTATTTCCATTCCAGATTTTGCACCAACAGAATTTATTACGCAGAAGCTAACCTTCTCATCTGAAAACAAAAAAGGCAGGCTCCCCACCCGACGATAGCCCAGGGTTGTCATCTCCAGGTGAAGAAATTCCTGGAGATTTGGGGGCGGAGCCTGGGAAGGGGAGGGGCCTTAGCAGGGTACGACATCATGGCGTCCACCCTCCAAAGCGGCCGTTTCCTCCCGGAGAAGTGATCTTAGTCATCTGGAGGTCAGTTGTAATGCTGAGAGACCAGTCCAGGCCCCACCAGGAGGTTGGCAACACCACAACAGCCATGGTTTATCTACATATACGGGAGGCCGTTTCAAACCGGGCCGGGCCAGCCCTTCTAAAGCAGCAGGCGTCAAAAGGAGAAGAATCCAGCCGGGATACTGCAGGGCGGGGGAAGCAGCCGTCTTTTGCTCCGATACAGCTCAGCGGGAGTCATCTGTAAAAGAGTTTTTAATTTATTATTTCTTTCTATCCCACCTTCCTCCCCAAGGGGGACCCAAAGCAGCTGACATCATTCCCGTCTCCTCCGTTTTATCCTCACAACTACCCCTGTGAGGTAGGCGAGGCTGAGAGCGTGTGACTGGCCCAAGGTCACCCAGCGAGCTTCCACGGCAGAGGAGGGATTCGAACCCGGGTCTCCCAGATCCTCGTCCTGCACTTTAATCATTGCAGTATTTCCTAAAGATCCTGTCAGTTACCCAAAGGGATGCCATGATGAGGACAGGGGCGGATGTGTTTTCAGGGAGGCTGGATGACAGGACTCTTCAGGCCCGTAGCCAGTGTGTTCCCTCTAAGCTGAGTTAGTGTGAGCCAGCTCACAGTTTTTTAGCCTCCGGCTCACACATTTTTGTCTCTGCTCCGGAAGGTCAGCTCCAGAGCAAACTAATTTGTGAAGTAGATTAATCGCTGGCACGCAACTTTAATGCCAGTAGCTCACAAAATAGAATTTTTGCTCACAAGATGCCACGGCTTAGAGGGAGCACAGTGGGGCATTTTGGGGCCTGGCCCCCCAAATTCCTACCAAGGCCCCATGGCTACCATCCAGCCTCCAGGCCCCCTGACTCTCTGGGTCTCCTTTGACTATGGCAAAGGAGATTTCATCTAAATTTGAGGAAGAACCTCCTGACAGTGAGATTCATTTGATGCTGGAACAGTAGTGGATTCTTGATAACTGAAGGTTTTAAAGTCTCAGTTGTATGTTTACTTCTCAGGGATATTATAGTTCTAGTTCCTGCATTGGCGGAGGGTTGGACTAGATGACCCATCAAACCCTGAGTAAAAGTCTAACACCTCAGATCTAAGTCATCATCGGGACTCATTGCATCAATTCTGTATCATACAACAGGATCCCGTATCTCCAGGCCCCACCTGGAGGTTGGGAACCCTAGCAGGGGTGGACTTAGCTATCTCTGTCACTCACTCTTTCTTGTCCTGGAACACATGATGCCAGAGGTCGATTCGGGGGGAACGCGGGGGATCGCAGTTCCCCCGGATGAGGTGCGGGGGCGGGGCACACGACGAAGCCCCGCCCCCTGCTTCCAGCCGCCCCGCTTCCGGCCCTCATTCAGCCAGGAGGAGGCAGGAGAAGAGGGAGGGTAAGTTGCTTCCTCCCCGCCTCTCCCCACCCCTGCCTGCCTGGGGCCAAGGAGGGCCTTCGCGGGGCTTCCTTGCACTCCCGCCGGCCTTGCAGGTCCACCGCCGGGCCCCTGATGTCAGGGGAGGTGGCATATGCTAATGAGTTATGCTAATGAGCCCCCCTAGCTCTTTTTCTATGAAATGACCCCTGCATGACGCCACCGCATGTTGAATCAGAGCATTTGTCCATAGAGATCTGTATGGTCTACTCAGACAGGCAGTGGCTCCCCAGGGTTTTCAGTAGATGTCTTTTACCTCTGACCTGGTCCTTTTAACTGGAGATGCCGGGGATCGAACCTGGGACCTTCTGCATGCCAAGCAGGACCTCTGCCATGGAGCCACAGCCCCTCCCCTAAAAGCAATACACTTCGCTAGATCTCCCCCACCCACCCCCACATCCATGTCAGGCAGACGGCAGCCCCGTTTCAAAAATTTTGCAGTTCTTAGTCCTAGTACATTGCTTATTAGATGTACCCTACTAGATACATTGCGCAATCCGCCTAGCGTCTGGGTGAGAAAGGCGGACTACAAATAACGTAAATCGACAAAATGAATAAGGCCGTTTAGCCCGGATGCTTTTATAGGATGCTCTGCCAGGATGTTAAGATTTGCAAGAGGGGGAAAAAATCTAAACAGCAAGTTCTCTGTTCTTTAGGGCTGCCAGGGAAAAACTTGGAGATTTTGAGGGTGGAGCCTGAGAAGGGCGGGGTTTGAAGAGGGGAGGGACTTCAGTGGGCTACAATGCCACAGAGTCCACCTTCCAAAGCAGCCATTTTCTCTCGGGGAACTGATCTCTGTCGCCGGGAGATCAGTTGTAATAGCAGGAGATCTCCAGCCCCCAACTGGAGGCTGGCAACCCTACATGTTCTTTCTCTCTCCCCATTCGTCATGATTAACCTGTTAGCAATGGGTGAGAGCCTCATAGGGTGGCTCCCGGAAGCAGCGGTGCCCTTCAGTTGGAGCCTCCGAGAAACCCTCCTGGGGCTGAGCGGAGGAGAATTGCTCTGAATGAGGGGTTAAATCTATGAGAGATAAGAAACTGTGCACTAACCCTAAGACTCCTATATGCACACGCCCTGTTTCGCGACCACCAATCGCAGACTTTGACACTACATAGTCTCCAGTGTCGTTCAACATCAGACTCCCGATGTTCAGGGAACAGCCGGGGTCTCCAGTCTCCCGCCCGGTAAAGGCTGGGCCATTCCGCTGCACAGGAGGTGATGTTGATGGAATATATACAAAGATCCGGTTTGCTTCAGCTTTTTCTCCTCGATACCAGATGCATAGAATAAAGGCTGGTTTTCCTCCTGGAGTCAGAGTGACGTCCTGTCCTTCCATCGGATGCGGTGGTTCCACCATAATAGGAATCTCCTGGGCCTGGGCAAGCAGGAAGCCAGAACTCAGGATGGTGGCTGAGTGGAGAGAGAGAGGGAGAGAGAGAGAGACAGAGACACAGACACAGAGAGAGAGAGAACCCTTCACTAGGCAATGAAAACAGACACACCCAGATCTCAGATTTCAAGATGTCCTGCAAATTAGGGATGCCAGCCTCCAGGTGGGACCTGGGGATCCCCCAGAATTACAACTCATCTCCAGACTACAGAGATCAGTTTCCCTGGAGAAAATAGACAGTGGACTCTATGGCATTGTACCTCACTGAGGTCCCTGCCCTCCCCAGGTTCCGCCCCCTGAAATCTCCAGGAATTTCCAGAACGGGATCTGGCAACCCTACCTGCAGAGCAGAAGCCACAAACTTTATTGTAGCATAAGCTTTCGAGAAACACAGCTCTTAAAGTGCTACTGGGCTTTTGACTATTTTACAGCAACAGACTTAACACGGCTAACTCCTCAGGGTGTTCAAAGGGAGCCTGGGGCACGCAGCACCCACCAAAGGACTATCCCAATGATTTGTTCATGCTCAGTTTCTGCCCCTCCAGGTGTCTGGACATTGTGTGACTCCCTTCCCATTGCACGGCCCTTGACCCCTTACCTGCTAACAGCACCACTCGGCAAGACCTCTTCCATCTAAGGTTGTTCACTGTCTGGCCCATCGTCAAAGGGGTCGCTGTGTGGAGTCTGTCAGTCGGAAGCCCGGGTTCTCTCTCCAAAACCAGCGTTTCTGCCTTCTGTGCCCCTGCGAAGTCTGCGTGAGTCTTGGCCCAGATGAGCAGGAACTTGGCAACTCAAATACTGCCACCACCTCCTCTCAGGATTAAGTTTCCACCCAGTGTTAAATTGCATTTCCTCCAAGCCTAAAAGTTCCCCATTTGCCCTTAGACTGGGTTGTTCCAACACAGGTGATCTCTGGGGGGAAGGGCACAGAACAAATGAAGAGAAAGTGGATAGATCCGGGTGGGTGGCCGCGTCGGCCTGAAGCAGCAGAACAAAGTTGGAGTCCAGTGGGCACCTTGAAGACCAACAGAGCTTAATTCTAAGTATAAGAAAGGCTCTCCTGGATGCCGGACGCTCCCCTTATCATATGAAATGACAGCACTGCACTGACATAACCTCTATACCAGGGGTGTCAAACATGCGGCCCGGGGGCCAGATCAGGCCCCCGGAGGGCTTCTGTCAGGCCCGCAGTGGAACTGGCTGTCTCCTGCTTCTTCTTCCAGTTCGGCTGCTGCTGCATCATCATAGGTTTGCAGCTTACAGATACACACCTGAACAGCATACTCAAGATTGCAGCAGCACAGATATTTTGATGCAATAATTCAGAGCAAGAGGTGTCAGTTATCAGACACGGTTAGATAAACAAAATATTGCCAGAGTGCTCATGTCTTAAGCATGCTTTTATTTTAATTTTAAAAATCTTTAATTGTGTTTGTGTCCCTTATCAAGCTTATATCTCTGCTACCTGGCATTACATGTTATGACACACACGGCCCGGCCCAACAAGGTCTCAGTTATGTCAGATCCGGCCCTCATAACAAATGAGTTCGACACCCCTGCTCTATATTGTGCTTCTTCACCCCACCTATATGTTTACTCCTCAAAGCAAACCAGGGGTCATTTCATAGAAAAAGAGGTGCAGGAGCTCATTAGCATAACCCATTTGCATAACTTATTTGCATATGCCACACCCCCTGACATCACCAGAAGTGTGTCAGAAGGCACCGCTCAGGCTCCACTGGACTGTTTTGGATTGCTAGCTATTGGGGGGGGGGGGAACGTGCAGATCTGTCCTCGCAGAGGAGGGAGAGCTTCTACCTGAATAAAACTTGGTCTTAAAGGTGTTACTAGACTGTTTTGGGCCGGAGGGCGGGGGGGGGCTCTGCAACTTACCTGGCTGCTTCTTGCTCTGACTGAGGGCTGCTGGGAGCAGGGGGTGGGGCTTGTTGCATATGCCCGCCCCCTGGGCTCTTTACTGCCAGAGCTCCATTCCTGTGTGCTCCTTCAGGAAATGACCCCTGAAGCAAACTCAAACGCTGTTCTAAAGTCCTTTGGACAAAACTTATTTGTTCAGAATCATACACCAGCCTCCTGTCCCCCACTTGAGGTGGCTTACGATGCGAATGCCATAAAAAGGCAATATGATAATTTTTAAAAGAGTGTAAAGCAATCTGAAATAAGAACAGTGGCATTAAACTGCAGCAATTTAAAAAACCTCCCAATCCTTTAGAAACAGTCAATATAATGCCGGGGGCGGGGGGTGAAAGCAAAAGAAATCGAAACCAAAGTGATTTATCGATAGAATTGCCTTCAGTTCTGGGGTTCAGGCTTTTACTTTTAGGGCCCTCATTCACTTCACATGGTCAAGAGCCTTTGAAAAAATTTTCTCTGCAGGCCACCAACGGCATATGTGTGGTCTGTATTCTACAAAGGCAAAAGAATGACCTTTCCCGATACACAGAATGAATCAAGAATCGTTAAGAAAATGGTCCTGTACTTAAGAAGAAGAAGAAGAGAAGAGATTGGATTTATACCCTGCCCTTCACTACCCAAAGGTGTCTCAGAGCGGCTTACAAACTCCTTCCCCTTCCCCTCCCCACAACAGACACCCTGTGAGGTAGGTGGGGCGGAGAGAGCTCTTTTTCAAGAACAGCTCTTATCAGAACTAAGGCTTGCCCAAGGTCATCCAGCCAGGTGCAAGTGGAGGAGTGGGGAATCAAACCCAGTTCTCTCAGATTAGCGTCTGCGCACTTAACCACCACACCAAACTGGCTCTCTACACCAAACTGGCTTAAGTGAAGGTGTGGTTGGGAAGAGGGGAAGGGAGAAGAGACCGTTTTATTGAGAACCGGTTTGGTGCAGTGGTCAGGAGCGCGGACGCTAATCTGGGAGAACCGGGTTCGATTCCCCACTCCACTTGCCGGTGTGACCTTGGGTCAGTCACAAGTTCTCTCAGAGCTGTTCTCTCAAGGGCAGTCCCCGAGAGAGCTCTCTCTGCCCCGCCTACCTCACGGGGTGTCTGTTGTGGGGAGGGGAAGGGAAAGGAGTTTGTAAGCCGCTCTGAGACACCAAGTGAAGGGCGGGGTATAAATCCAATCTCGCAATAATGGGTTCAAATTAAGGGTGGGAAGGTACCGGCTGGGTCTTAGGAGAAACCTTTTGACAGTCAGAGTTGTGCAAGAGTGGAATCGGCTGCCTAGGGAGGCAGTGAGCTCCCCCTCACTGGCTGTCTTTAAGCAGCAGCTGGACAAACACTCGTCAGGGATGCTAGGCCAGTGGTGGCGAACCTATGGCATGGGTGCCAGAGGTGACACTCAAAGTCCTCTCTGTGGGCACCCATGCCATCGACCCAGCCAGGCCCAGACCATCATTAAAATGTCGAATTCTCTGCCAAATAATTTTAAGTCAATGAAAGCATTTGGGATTGTTTTCCTTACTTTCTTTGGATCATCTTAAGTTAATGTATGAGTGATCTTTTCTAAAGTAAAACCTCAGTATTCAGGTTAAATTGCCGTGTTGGCCCTTTGCGATAAATAAGTAGGTTTTGGGTCCCAGTTTGGGCACGCGGTCTCTAAAAGGTTCGCGATCACTGCTCTAGGCTGACCCTGCATCAAGCAGGGGGTTGGACAAGATGGCCTGTCTGGCCCCTCCCAGTTCTGTGATTCCATGATTCTATGACAGGGGCCAAATTTCCAAGTAGGGTTTGATATGCGTGGAAACTGGGCATCTGCCGGACAGGAAATTCAGCCAACCCCAGCTGTGCTGGATTGCCTTTCCATATCAACTCTCGAGTGATAAGAACAGTACAAACCAGTTGGCCTTCCTATAAATCTATTGCTGCAACTGTGTAAATATCTGCTGCTATTTCATAAGATAGGGGAGTGGCCAGCATCCAGGAGAGCCTTTCTTATACCCAGAATTAAGCTCTGTTGGTCTTCAATGTGCCACTGGGCTCAAACTTTGTCCTGCGGCTTCAGACCAACACCGGCTGCCCCACCTGAATCTATCCACTTTCTCTTCATTTGTTCTGTTCCCTTCGCCCCAGAGGGAGCTGCAGTGGCTCAAGAGGTTAAGACACTGAACTGCAGGCTGCAGAAGGTCAGTCGTTCAGCAGTTCGAGACCCGAGTGTGCCGCATGACGGAGTGAGCTCTTGTCTCTAGTTCCAGCTCCTGCCAACCTAGCAGTTCGAAAGCAAGAAATTGCAAGTAGATAAATAGGTACCACTTTGGTGGGAAGGTAACAAACAACGTTCCGTGCGCCTTGGTGTTTAGTCATACCGGCCACATGACCACGGAAACGTCTTCGGACAGCGCTGGCTCTTTGGCTTTGAAATGGAGATGAGCACTGCAACCCTAGAGTCGGACTCGACTGGCTTTCGAGCAAGGGACACCTTTCCCTTTACCTTCGCCCCAGAGCTCACCTATGTTGGAATGACCCAATCTAAGGGCAAATGGGGAACTGTTAGGCTTGGAGGAAATGCAATTTAACACTCGGTGGAAACTTAATCCCGAGAGGAGGTGGTGTCAGTATTTAAGTTGCCAAGTTCCTGCTCATCTGGGCCAAGACTCAAACAGAGTTTGCAGTGGCACAGAAGGCAGAAACGCAGGTCACTGAGAGAGAATCCGGGCTTCTGACAGACTCCACACAGCGACCCTGATGATGGACCAGACATGCCACACCCTTAGATGGAAGAGTTCTTGCCAAGTGTTGCAGTTAGTAGGTAAGGGGTCACACAATGCCCAGAGACCTGGTGGGGCAGAAACTGAGCCTGATTGCTGGGATAGCCCTTTGGTGGGTGTTGCGTGCACCAGCCTCCCTTTGAAAATCCTGATCATGTGAACCTCTTTTGTTACTTCCTGCTATACAGTGGGTTATTGTTGATACTGTTGTCAAAGTTTTTTTATGTTAAAGAAAAGGTTGTGGCCCTGACCTGGATAGCCCAGGCAAGGCCGATCCCATCAGATCTCGGAAGCTAAGCAGGGTCTATTCTGGGAAGTACTTGGATGGGAGACCTCCAAAGAATACCAGAGGTAGGAGGTGGGGGCAGGCTTTACTCAGTCACCTCTCTGAATATCCTCCAAGCCCTCAGTAGGGGACAGTCATCAGAGGTCACCATGACTTCCAGGTACACACACACACAGACAGACAGACATGCACGTATGAAAAAAATTCCAAAAAACACCAAAAAAGGAAAAGGCTGTGTACCCTAATGGTGCTCCCAGTTTCTAGCACCACTGACGAATGATGCTGTAGACTAGGAAACATTTGCTTAGACTCAGGGCTATTTTTGGGCAGGAACGCACAGGAACGGAGTTCCGGCTGGCTTCAGAGTTGGCCACGCCCACTACAGCCAAAACGTCTGTGCTACAGAGGGAAGGCCTGGAGAGCAACCCCCCCCCCCAGTGACTTCGAAGCAGGCAGGCCGGGGGGGGGGCCCTGGAAGGATCGGGGAGGCATTTAAGGGCCAGCTTGCCAGGCATCCCGCTGCCGTGGGACAACTGGGCAAGTCAAGGGAAGACATGGGGGTGTGGCCTAATATGCTAATGAACTGTGATGTTGGGGTGTGTGGCCTATTATGCTAATGAGTTCCTGCTGTTGGGTGTGGCCTATTATGCTAATGAGTTCCTGCTGGGCTTTTTCTACAAAAAGAGCCCTGCTTAGACTTGTGAACCTTCCGCATTCTGTTTGGCCCGGCCTTCCGTGGCAGCCATTTTGGG